ACTTAAATATTTTAAAGAAAATTATATAAAAATTTTTTATTAAAGTTTTAATAAAAAATAAATTTTTAATTCATTAAATTTAAATATTTAAAATTTTAAAATAAATCATTAAATTCAATGACTCAACCCCGAATGGATGTAAATATGTAATACCTACTCTCGACATAAAAGAAACTCTCCTATAATAAAAAATATTTATTATTTAGGATGAACGAATAAAAAAAATAAAAACCCAATCCTCGGCATAAAAGAAATTCAATCTCCTATCATAAACAATATTTATTGTTTAGGATGATAACAAAAATGGAAAAAAAAAAGAAAGAAGAAAAAGGACATGAACGTGCTACTGGGTGTTGTAATGATACTCCAACTGTTTTTGTTTGTTTGCGATTTTTGTTCTTTTCGTCCTAAAAGTCAAATAAAACAACTGAAAAAAGCCTCCTTATTAATGACAAAACGTAAAGAAGTATATGTCTGCTGCTAATCATGGATGAAGAGGAGACGATGAAGGAGATGGAGAAGGTGCCCATTCCCCTGCTTACCCCTTACAAGATGGGAAGATTCAGTCTCTCTCACAGGTAGATTATATCATCCCTCTCCATTTTTCGATACCACTCTGTATCACCATGTTTGGATTGAATTTAAAGGGCAAAAAACAGAGGGAAAGAAAACAAAAAGAAAAAGTGCAAACAAAAAAAAAAAAAACCCTTCATTCATTTTCGTCTACAGGATAGTCCTTGCACCTTTATCCAGATTAAGATCGTACAACTTTGTTGCGCAACCGCACGCCGTCCTGTATTACTCTCAAAGAACAACACCAGGCGGTTTCTTGATCGGAGAGGCCTCTGGTATTTCCGAAACTGCACAAGGGTAGGGTTTCTGGCCGCTGCTTCCAATTTCTGTTGTTTCTCATCTATGAATCTAATTTTGACTAAATTTTGAAGCCATCCAAACACTCCTGGAATCTGGACGGGAGAACAGGTTGAGGCATGGAAGCCGATTGTGAAAGCCGTTCATGATAAAGGCGGAATTTTCTTTTGTCAGCTATGGCATGCTGGAAGAGCTTCTGATAATTGTAAAACCAGTCTCTGTAGAGTATAAGAAATTACCTGATAGATCTGTTGAATTTTTAGAATTCATTAACTTCTCTTTTGCAGGTTTTCAACCGAATGGTCAAGCACCGATCTCCTGCACGGATAAGCCAATTCAATCCAAGGTTCACATCGATGGTTCCACTCCGGCAGATTTCCCTCCTCCTCGGCGGTTAACGATTGATGAGATCAAACAGGTTGTTGATGATTTCAGAATAGCCGCCAAAAACGCTATGGAAGCAGGTTTTATAATACCTTACGTTACAACACTTGATAAATTCAAACTAAAGAGTCAAGAATATCTGATGTTCTCTGGATTCAGGAATGTAATTCGAAATTCAAAAAATTTTACAGGTTTTGATGGAGTAGAGATTCATGGAGCAAACGGTTATCTAATCGATCAATTCTTGAAGGATCAAGTAAATGACAGAACGGACGAATATGGCGGGAGCATGGAGAACCGTTGCCGGTTCCCTCTAGAAGTTGTGAGAGCAATCGCTGATGAGATCGGATCTAACAGAGTCGGCCTCCGCCTTTCTCCTTTCGCTGACTACAATGACGCTGGCGACTCGAATCCTGAAGCTCTGGGACTCTACATTGTTGAATCGCTAAACAGAATTGGAATTTTGTACTGCCACGTGATCGAGCCGAGGATGATCACGCAATTCGATAGCAGAGAAACAAAGCACAGTCTGCTTCCGATGAGGAAGGCTTTCAATGGAACGTTCATTGTCGCCGGTGGATATAATAGAGAAGGCGGAAACGAAGTGGTGGACAGCGGAGGCGCTGATCTGGTGGCTTTTGGACGGTTGTTTCTGGCGAATCCGGACTTGCCGAAGAGGTTTGAGCTCCATGCTGTGCTTAACAAGTATGATAGAAGTACCTTCTACACTTCTGATCCCGTTGTTGGTTACACAGACTATCCATTTCTTGATACTAGTGATTAGTTTCTAGGTCGATTTGTTTTTTCTTCTATCAGAGAAATTTGATTGCAAAACATTTGTTCTCAAAAAGTTAAGTGTTGTATTTTCATATAATTGTTTTATAATAACAAATGATAAGTTAATTATAATAATTGAAACGATTGTTATTTTTTTTAAATAAAATTTAATTTGAGTATTGTAAAGAAAAAATATATATATATTAAAATAATTTTTTTTATAAAATTTAATATGATTTGATTCTTAATTAATTAAAATTCAATATAAATTTTGAATATATGGATTAATAAAAAAATAATTGTTTTATAATATATAAATTGCTTGTTTTGGTAAATTGACGAGTGTCGTTACAAAATTCAATTCAATTTAGTTTAATTTTAAAATTAAAAAATTTATGAAAAATTTTATTACTCCTCTTAACAAAATTGGGGCCAACCTTTTTTCATTCATAAGATTAAAGCTTCCCGCCCAACTAGTCCACATAAACACTAATAGGATTATATATGGTCTATGGTAAACTGCATGTTTTCCCTTGTCTATAAAGAAGATGAGCTAACACGGCATAAAAGTGAAATAAATTAAAAAATAATAAAAATAATAAAAAAATGAAAAATAATTATTTTTTATTATATAATTTAAAATAATAAATAAATAAATAAATAAAGAGATAGTTGTAAACAAATATAATTATTAGTATACTTTTTATTTAATATATCTATTAATATTTATTGATTCACTTATTAAATTTTACAAGTAAAATTGTTTTTTTAGTTAAAATTTAAAAATAATAATTTTTTAATAAATATATTATAAAATATATTAAATAAAAAGATATATTAATTATTGTTAAAGAGAGAGAGAGAGAAATGGCTAATCGGCAATGCACTATGCACCTCGTGATTACACAGTGAATGGCCTGGATCCGGATGCTTTTGCTTGTTGGACTTCACAAAATTTTGGCCTGGTTTTGAAGTTTTAGGGCCCAATTAACTTTTATTCTTCAAACTTTTGATATGTATCTCTTGTTCTTATCCACGGAGGCCACTGAGAAACATGTTATTATGGGGATAAAGAGCAAATATTGATGAATAAGGTCTTGCAATTGAAAAGAGAGACTCTGGATTGCATAGAGAGATTAACGATTTGAAGAATTTGAATTCTAAAATGGAAAAAAAGCTCAAGAATCATGAGATAGTTGTTTCAAGTTAGTTGAATTTGGAAATTTGTTTTCTTCAATATTGTTTATTTGGTAATTAAGTTGTGTTAGATACTTTTTTGCTTTTGTAAGGTGTCTTTTTGCCGTCTATTTTGCTTTTGTAAAGTGTCTTTTTGCTGCCTATTTTGGCCTATTCTTTTTTTTTTTTTTGCCAATTCCTTTATTATCTTTTTTTTTTTTGTGCCATATCCTTTGTAACTTGTTAATTGTTCTAGTAATAGGTTAAAACCAAAAAGAATAATATATAATCAAAAAAAAAAAAATGGTCCCACTGGTCCAACTAAATGTATAAAAACTTAATAAACAAAAGTTAAACATTTGATCGTTGGACAATTAAAGGTCAAAGTTAACGAAAATATGGATGTCATCCAATTAAGGGTGATATCGAACAAAAAAGGTGTGGTAAAGGGATGAAATTCATATTGTAAGGAAAGTAGAGGGATGATATTGAATATTTTCTTAGTAGAGGGATGGTAATGAACATTTTCACAAAGTGTGAGGACTATAGTTGGCTTAACCCCATAACAAATAAATCAATTCCTTACAATTTAATCAGTATTAATTAAATCAATTAAAATATATATTTCAAAAAACTCAATATAAACATAATTAAAGTATTAAACCATGTATGAACTTGAGCTTCATTAAACAAACAAAGTAACCTAATCAAGTTTTTTTATTTTTTTTTTGTCAACGCTAAAGAACAGATCAAATTGAGCCTATCTTTTAAGCCCCACAAGTTGATCTAAATTAAATTAATCAATGAAAACTTATCTTGTACAGATATAAGTTAATTTGTAAATGCAAAAATAATTAGTATATTTTTTTATTCAATATATTTATCAACATTTATCAATTTAATTATTAAAATTTGTAGTTAATAATTCTTTATCTTAAATTTATAAATAATAATTTCTTAATAGTTATCATATATTGAATTGAATAATATGTATTAATCATGGTCTCTTCCAAATCAGTACAGAAACAAAATGTATCTCAATTCATCTTTTGAAGAATTTTTTTTTCTTCTTACGTAACGTTTTTTTTACTAATACAGTGATATATCGTGAGAATTGCAGAAAAAAATATTTTTTCCCACCAATTGCAGCGAATAGTTGAATTGGTACATTTTGTGACTTTGTCAATGGATAAAATATTAATCTTTTAATGTATATTCATTTAATTAAAGACATTATATAAATTAAAAGGTTTGTCTAATTTATGCATTAAGAACCTTAAAAGAATAAAAAATAATATTTAATTTATTAATCACTCAATTAAATGTATTCATGTAACAATAACACTAAAATTAATATCCATTTTAATAGTTTTTATTACGAAAAAAATATATTGATTACATCCTTATCTTGTTCCTTAAGATACAAAATAAAAAATTTCTAAATTAAATTATATTATATGGTACAACTAATTAAATTATTAAATAAAAGACTTTTGATTTTAAAATTATCTTTCATTTAATAACTCTTATTTTACACTCTTTGTGCAATTAAATTCACATTAATTTAACCTCTCAATTGTCAACACCTAAGGATGATCTATTGGCTTACGTAAAGAAAATGAAATAACTTTCAAATTGCATTCTCTTTTGCTATTTGCATGTCTAAATTAAAAAGAATTTCTGATAGTATTTATTAATCGTTAAAACTCTTTCTTTTCAATAAATACCATATCACCCACTAACAACTTATTTAACTAAGTAGAAGGAGTATAATTTTTCTTAAACAAAATTTTGAATTTAAATTTTATAAATGAAAAAACAGATGTTGAAAGATCTTCTTCAAAATAAATTTGACTAATTTAATTTTGAATTAATTGAGAATGAATATGGTTACTAAAAATGGAGAGATTAGTGAAAAAAAAAAAAAAACCGTATCACCGAGATTTATTACCGATATCCCACCATAAACTAGACCGAAATCTAGCTGCGTATGTACCAATCTGCCATGGAAACCCAAGAAGCACCGCTCCACGTAGCCATGGTGGCCGCTCCGGGCATTGGTCATGTGATCCCACTCACTGAGTTAGCAAAGCGACTTGTTCACCACAACTTTGCTGTAACCTTCTTTGTCCCCAATGATGGCACGCCCATGAAACTTCAGAAGCAACTTCTTCAATCCCTCCCTAAGTCCATTTCCTCTGTGTTTCTCCCTCCACTTAAATTTGACGAGGATGTCCCCGCCGAGGTGAGGATCACACTCAGCCTCACTCTCTCAATCCCAGCTCTTAGAGACTCGTTTAAGGCCTCGACCAAGTCAACTCAAGTGGTGGCCATGGTGGTCGATTCATTTGGCATGGATGCATTTGATGTGGCTAGAGAGTTCGGCGTTGAGCCTTATGTTCTCTTCACCACGAACGCCATGGCGTTATCTTTTGTTTTTCATTTACCTAAGCTCGATCAAATGTTTTCGGGTGAGTACAGAGATTTACCTGAACCGGTCAAGTTACCTGGGTGCATCCCAATTCAAGTTATTGATCTGATTGACCCGA